GGAAAGCTCCAGACTGGCAATGCTGTGATCTACCTTTACACCACTCCACTCCACTCCAAATTGATGATGTGTGTTTCAAGGAATGTGGAGAAAGAGAATGAGGAGAAGACAAATAGAAGTAGACGCAGATAAGAGAGTTGTTTAGACTTAGAGAGTGGAGAGAATAGACAGGAGAAGGGGAAACATGGGAAGTATGAAAATACTACTTATAGGCAAACAGTAACTGGAGAAAACTATTTTTCTTTTGCCATGCTTGTCGGCTACCTAGAAGTATCTGGTTGGACATTACTGGAAACAGGTTGCTGGACCTGAATAGCCCCTGAATCTGATCCTGTTCAGCCCTTACATTCTTATGATGCCAGAAACACTGGCCATCCAACCCAAAGTCCCCTGCACAGTGCACAGCCTCTGATCTCAATTACTACCCTCCTTCCGACTTCCATTTTGGAGCATCTACCCACACTCAGTTCTCCTGCAACCAAACTCCATTCCCGTGCATCACAGCTTGTCCTCAACTTCTTATGTGACTAATTAAGCCTGGGCTGTCCAAGTCTGGCTTGGAGTGTTACCTTCTTAACAAGGACTTCATAATCTGATGTGGAACAGGTTTCTGCTGCATTCTTATACGTATTTTCCTGTAAGCCCCATTCAGCACAAGGTACAGGATTGTGCTGTTACTCCACTGTGCTTTTTAAAGAAAGTGGTCCTAACCTGAAATCTGCTGCAGTTGCAGAGTAGTTTCCTTCCGTGCCTTTGGAAATGTTCAGATCTTTCTTGTTGCCTCTCATGTTTTTGTTGCTGTCTTCAAGAGATTCACTGTAGAAACAATCAGAAAGACTGCTAGAAGGCCAGGAAGATGGATTTTGTGTTCGATTCAAACACCTGGATCTTACACTTTGATGTCATTTGTGTTTTTCTTGTGTGTGTGTGTGTGTGTGTGTGTGTTTCTAAATTTTGTATTATGCATCTTCATGCCCATAGGCATCCTCAGAGTGGCAGCTTACAACCATAAACAACATTGGACATATATAAGATGGGTACCCTCACAGAAAAAGATTGTCAACAGAGGGGGCAAGTGGAGAGACAGTTGTGGTGTGTGGAGGGAGGGAAGGGGAGGGGAAATGACTGGCCATATCTTGGTATTTTCAAGGAGATGCTGCTGTGCAGAAGAAAACACCAAAGGCTGCAGGATATGGCCTACACATTTTCCCAGAATTGGGGGTGGCCAGCTGGAAATCAGCATCATCAGAATAGCATTAAGATTTGGAGGATAAAGTGTTATCTTGCCACAAGCTACTGTGCTGGCAGTAAGGAGTGCTGATCAGCTAGACTAGTGTCAGGCAAGTCCACATGGAAGGGATTCCCTGAAAGTTTGAAAAGCATCAGATGCACGGCCTTCCATCATGTTGTAGCACATGGTCATAGGACTAGAAATCCATTTCTTAATGAAAATAGTTAAATGAAGACCATGAACATATTCTACAGATTCCTCATTCCCTGCACAAATAATGCCGTTCCCTTTATGCTGAAGAGTCAACTGCATGCCCTCCACAGATTTGGCAAATTAATCCAGGAGGAGACTGTAAAAGAGCCAGACTTTTGTCAGGATGGAGCATCCTGCAGGCTTTTCCATTCATGAATCTGATACCTAATCTGGGCACGGAAACAAGGCAAATCACACACAAATGCCCCACAACTCCAAGGATATGATGTGTGACTTTCCCACAGCCTCAGCATATTATTTATTTAATTCTGGGATCCATATACTACTTAAATATAATAAAATCCTAAAGTGGTATTCCTAAAAGAAAGGAATCCTACATGCTGCACTCAGAGGGAGAAACTAGAGGTGACATTGGGAGATTAAGGTTAAAGGAAGCTATGGGGAGGGAGAGAGGAACCCTATAAGGACCATGATACTGGAGAGAGTAACATTACTGATCCCATGCTATGTTCCTAATTTCACTCAGTCACTCATCTCATTCTTCTGGGGTGGGAGGAGGGCTCTTTGTGGTTCCCCCCACCGCCATTGACAAACAGAAGTATTGAGGTGAGTTCCATGGGGCAAACAGCAAGAGGGGGCAGCTTTCAATCCCTTTCCCCTGCATTTCAGTTGCAATCCAGTTTAGAGGTCCTTGCAGACACATTTGCCTTAAAATGAGGTGGATGTGGATAAGAGACCTCCTTGTTTCACATCTAGTTTGGCCCTCAGACTACCTGTGCGCAGAACAGCTGCATCCACAGAAAAGCCCCGCAGCCATTGCAATCCATACAGGTGGAAGGGGGAAAGTGAGCACTTACTCTTTATCCTGGCACCATATCTTATTGATGACCAAGGCAATCACTGTCAAAACCAAGAAGACCGTAACTGCAATGACACCCTGCAGCCATGGCTGGAGCTTCCGCTGGACTGTCAAGAAAAGGTGTTAAACCAAGGTTGTTGTTATGGATCTTGATATTCGTAGGCTGATCTAATTCTGTATTAATTGTGACACGGTATCTATGAAGATTGCAAACTCTTCTTTCTCTAGACAGTTGCCCAATTCAGTGAAGTAGCAAGAATAGTACTGGCATATAATTAAATTTTTAATATGTGTGGTACTATCTCAATGGCTATGCACATTCATAAATCACACAGATTAAAATCTACGCTCCACCCACCATACAGAAGTTCCCTTTCTGTGTCCAATGAATACTCTAACAAGTTCCCACCCACAGACAATAAATAATTGCAAGATAAACAAGCGTTGTTTTGTTTCTGATCAATTATGTGATAAGGCATTAATTAAGGATTAATAGCTGGGAATCAAGAGATTCTGTTCATTGATTTTTCCTGGCAATGCTGCTGGAACTCATCATTATCTGGTTCACAAAATGAATCAGTCCGACTTGTAACACTTGGCTGTATCACAAATCGAGTGCCATTTCCCACAAATGTTTTCTGCCTCAGAATATGCCATTAAATTATGCATGTCCATGGTCGCATTCAGCTGATCAGACACCCAAAACCATATGCTTCCAGCAGAGGTGGGCAACTTTCCTCTCCCTGGGCTCGCGCTCCTTTTGCAGTGCCAAATTTGGCAGGGATGGCAACCTGCCCCCAGCAGTTTGCTGCCAGCTTTCAGTTGCAAATGGCTATGGAAGCTTAAACAGGACAAATGTAGCTCGATAGCAGGCGACATTTGGCCTTTGTACTTTCTGTAGCATGCAGAGATCAGCGAGCGGATGCTTTTCTTTTTCCTCTTGGAAATGTTGGTGGTGCAGCAGCGGTGGGGGCGGTGGAGGCTGTGCTAGAGGATGGGGCTCACAGGGAGCTCAGCCCTGCTTTATCGGATCCTGAGCAAAAGCTTTTTACTGCTGCTCACAGCCAGTGTGGTATCTTTACCTGAGGCCACAAGAGCAACCTTGGAGAAGGGCTTTGGGGGCATTCCAGGGAGCAGGGAGGGGAAGGGGCCAGCACCACCAAACATACTTCAACACGCTGAGCCTAAATAGCCAAAATTACCTGTCTAAGTGCTTGCAAAGCAAGAGGAAGGCAGAGGTGACCTTTGCCTCTGCATTTTATTTATTTATTTATTTATTAAAACATTTCTATGCCGCCCCTTGCCAAGGCCTCGGGGCGGCTTACAACATCGAATACAAAATACGTTAAAACAATGACAATTAAATTTCTCTTGTCCTTTATAGGAAGACCGTCATCCTCAGAGTATCCACATAGGATTGTGCCCATAAAAGTATAAAATGCAATCCAAACATTTACTAGAATAAAATATAATATGATGCAAAATAATGAAAGCTCCTTTTTCCCTGCATGATCTTCAAACCCACTCATGGGTTGAATGTATGTATGTATGTATGTATGTATTTATTTATTTATGTGTTTGTTTATTTTAATGCCACCCAATAGCCAAAGCTCCCTGGGCTGCTATTAAACATTAACAATAACAACAACAAAAACAACAACAACAACAGACATAAAACAATAAGACCACAGCCATTGCAACAGAATCAGCCCAGAGGTAGAGCAGCAGTGCAGGATAAAATACATTATTAAAAACTAAAGTTAAAAAGTTAACTATTAAAATACTGGGCAAATAAAAAAGTTTTCACCTGGCACCAGAAAGAATGGAGAAAAGCTGAAAAGCTTGCCAGAAAGATGATAATTGATTCTGAACTGAGCTGTGTGCAGTTTGTCCATCATTAGTCTTTCACTGAACATTCTCTATAGATTTGAGATTAAATAAAGATAACATGGGTTTTTTGAGGGAGGCTGGTGTAGTTGAGCAGGATTCACAGTGATGCAGCCGCAGGACCACTACTATAACCTGGCAGAGAACACTGCCTTCGAAAGCAGGCCAAGGTTGCACCACGCTGGAGGGGAAATTAGCCAGGTGGCTTGATGAAGGGGACTGTTCAGCCTCTCCGCCACCTTCCTCACATTCCCCTGGACACTCCGGGCTTAGCTGCAGCCCTTGCAGGAGCTGGCAGAGGGGTGGATTTTCTCAGCAACCATGTTTCATGGCCTGTTTTACTGTAAAGTATTTTGGGGTGGCTTGGTCACAACTGGGCAGTTAAGGCCCCAGAGCTTTCATCTGGTGAGGATGGAAACTCTGGTATACAGCCCCACAGCTACCTGCCTTTTTGGACTCTCCTTGGAGCTATAGGAATTATTCTGATGAGACTGCCCTTCCAAATGTACCACTATGTCACTGGACTTGGATCAGTTTTCTTTGTCAAATTTTATTGGAGAAATCCAGGTCTACGCTGCCTCATTTGAGTGCATTGTTACAGAGCAATCTGCCATGTGGTGATACGGCCATTGAAACTGCCCCAGCCATTTTCTCTCTGTGCCAGGAAAACTGCACCTGCCCAGTGCATGTGGGAGAGAGGCTGGTGTTAAAAGATGGTTAAAAAAAAGAAAAGACAAAAAGGCAACCGTGTTCAATGTCTGGAGCATGGTAACGGGAACACACTGGCTGCCCTTCAGGGCCAGCTGTAGAAATGGTTTCACCTAAACAAATAGAGAGCTGGAGGCAGAAAAGGAATTTGCTGCCAAAAGCAGCTGCTTCACCTTATGATGCGGTAGCAGCAGCCATGCCAGCTCTGACCAAGAGTCTCTCCCCTCTCAGGGTGGTTGTTCCGTTGACAAGTCGATGACTAACTGCCCCAGTCGAGCCACCCTATGCCAAGCGTGCCCACCTCCCTTCCTGGGACACAAAGCAGTGTTCCTGGCCTTGCCCGGAAAAGAAACGGAGGGCTTGCTCATTTGATGGTGTAACCTGACGCTAATTGTTAGCAGTTCCAAAGAGGATTATTGTGACTTAGAACAACAGACCTGAGCTACTGTCCTCAGCCATGATTGCTTGACTGAAAGAATCGTCAGCAAAGCATTTCTTTAATCATTTGAGCAGTATCCTGAGTTTGGAGTTAAAGAATTTCGATTGTTCATTCAAGAAAATGTATTTAAATGCTGCCAATGAGTTGCACATCACCCTCTTAGCCATTTCAACATTCATATTTAACAAAATGAATCTTGAAAGGGATGCAAAATAGGAATCTGAAATGAAATGGAAATGTTCATGATCGCTTCCACAAGAATAGGAGAAAGAAGCCTTTTGAACATGGCTGTTTCTGTTAGAACAGTCCCTCATTTCATCTTACTTTGTTCTTACTTACTCGGCTGAGAGCACCGCAGCATGATATGCTGTCTGGAGCATGCTGGGAGTTGTAGGACATTTTTCTATCCAGACTTTAAGAAGTGGATAAACTATGTGAATTTGTTGAGTTTAGTTCCCACCGAAATCATTACTAACTTGCCCCACTGATTTCAGTCAGACCCAAATTTAACTAGGAGAGCAATCCTATGCATGTTCCGTGACATTTATTCACTGGTAAGTAATCAGAATCTAACCCCATGTTAACCATCACTTTAAAATCTAATGTGTTTGGACCATTTTCTACCCTATGAATAGGGCAGGAATATCCTTCACTCTTGCTTTCTTTTTGTTGCCTCTGTGTAGCTCTTCCTGCTTGGTGATTTATTTTAAGAGCATAAAAAAGAAGAAAATGGCATCTTATCTCCTAAATTTTCCAACATGCTTTGCAAAGTCTATTTTATGCATCTGATGAATATGCACAGAAAATAGACATTGTCCCAGCTGCCTCAGCTCCAGACGGCCATGCAGCCTTCTGCTGGGTAGATATTACCCATGCGTCTATTTTATGCATGCAGACATTCCTTGTGCAAACAGAAAAATCCTGCAAAATATAGGCAGAAATGCTTTTCCATATTTTGGTTGACTGTATACAGTTCTGGAGGAGGAACAAGTCTTTGCAGTTTCCCACAAACACACTCACTGAAGGAGGTAAGAGTTTCAGTTGTCTTATAATGCAGAAATATGAACTAGAAACTGAGTTTCTTCCAAACCATCTCACTTCCCAGGTTTCTTGGTAGTCCTGTGGAATTTTAGATGTAAAGAGGTTCAAAGCTCTAAACATGGGAACGTGATTCCACTTGTTTTCCCTTGGTTAATGCTGGACTAAAACAGCGGATGCAAGCCGGTCCAAAGTTCTCTACAGCCATTTTGCATCATTCCTTCCTTTAGAAATGAGACAAACATCTTTCTGCCTGTCAACATGCATTGGCTGGGTTCACACAACACAATAAGTCAAAGTTATTAGTTGAGTATGGATTGAGTGAAAAGTTGTCATTGAATTGGGGGTGGGGGAACATTGAATTGGGGGCGGGGGAATATTGAATTGGGGGCTGCTCTAATATATGACCTTGTCACACTAACCAAGCAAAGGCGCTTTTTTTTTTATTTTGTTTTGTTTTTTTTAAGCGGGAGTTGTTTTGTTGTTTAACCATGAACAACCCGCAAAGATAATACACAACAATCCACACTCAACCCTATTTTTTGTGCTATGTTAACCAGGCCATACATTGCCAAAAAATGTGGGGAGGGGGAATGAGAATGAAAAGAATCTCCGTTTGCATTCTTCCAGGCTAGGGAGCCCTGCTGGGCTTGCTATGCCCAGGTCCCCCACCTCAGATTCTAGAACCTACAGTGGCTGAATGAACCCAAAGACTGCATTCCCAACCACCACACATGGGCCTGGAGCCGCTCAAATCAAGCATTGCCAACAGATTGTCCGTAAACCTCCAGACAGCGTGTGGCATGCAGAGCAGAGGGAAGGAGGGCTGTTCCAAGCCTGAGATGCTTGCAGGACAAGGAATGCCTTATGATCAATCCCATCCAAAGTGAAGCAGAGGTAGAGTTGCCAGGACTCCTTCCATGATTTCAACAGCTGCATGACCAGCAGAAAAGATGTCAGGAAAGCTGCAACTGCTGCTTTTTCCTCTGGTCATGCAACTGTTAGTGGTGCAGAACCATGCCTAAATAGTTGTTGCCATCCCTAGGAAGCCCTCGTTGAGGGTTTGTGTTCACTCAGCTAAATTATCCCAGAAATGTCCAAAGGAAATGCCATGCATAAAGGTATCTATCAATAGCACACCATCTGAGGAGGGTTGCTTTCCTCCAGCACCACAGTCCTGCCAAACCCACAGCCTTCCACAAGTTGCTGTTGGACCTGCCTGACCCGGGACAGGACATGCTGTGACCAGAGACAAAGGAAAAGGTGGTGCTGCATCCCCATCACATGGGAAAATGCTGTTGGGCCTGGCAGTGGAATCTTGCCTCACCAGTGATGCCGGGCTGGCATCTTCCTCTGCACCTGAAGGCAATGGACTGGGTGAGGGGACACAGGGCAGGATGCCTGGCACCAAGCCCTCTCCTCTGACAGCTTGCTGCCATCTGCGGGCATCTGGGAGCTACAGTGGCCAAGGCAAGAACAGGAGCAACAAGAGGATTTACATCCCATTTAGTAGAATGGCTACAGAACAAGCCTCTTGAAATTTGCTAACTAAATTCCTCTGAATCAAGATGGTGCTGGTGACAGGATCAGCATTTGGATGGCCAAAATTAGAAAAATGTTCTCATAGATTGCTTCAGACTTATGATAAGCATTCAGACAGTGGTACCAGATACTGCAATGCAATCCTACACCTGCTTGCTTGGGAGTGAGTCTCACTGAACACAGTTTTGAGTAGGTATGCATAAGATTGTGCTATCTGGGAGCATTTCAGTGGAGAAAGGAGTCCAAATTCTTCTTTGGATGCCAGAATTTTCCATTGCCCCGGGTTACTGGTTACATTCAATCCATGCTTAAAGAGTTATACATTAACACCTGCATACAAGAGTGAATGCCCCCTTAATGAAGCTTAAGGAAATATCATATTTCTGGGAAAACATCTTGATGGCAATGTTAGAAAGTAATAGAGCAGGAACTGAATATCACACAAGCATATGGCAGGCCAGAAGGACTGTGGCATCCTATACAAAAAAATAGCTGACTACATGTAGTAGAACAAAGAGCACCCCAACAGCTCTAATCCCAAAGGTAAATCCCAAGAGAGGGGAAATGAAGGCCTTGCAGCAATATCTGTGCTTGAGTTGTGGAAAATGGGTATGAGAGGTACCTAACCACAGCCGAAGACACATTTTTAATTGTCCTCTGATGTATATCATGAATTTACTCTGACAGGACTGGACTTCATGGGCAACTCTAGTTGCACACACATTCAGTTCAATGAGGTTTCCAAGGAGTAGACCCTGCTAAAATTTATAGGGTTTTATTTTGTGTGGACATGCATCAGATGGAGCTGCAAGACTGGAATCCTAAAAACATTTATTAGGAATACACTTATTAGGATTGGGATGTACTTCTCTGTAATTGTGCACAGAAGGCTAGTTCAAGCGTTCCTTCTCCTCCCCAAAAGGCTCAGAAAAGATAGCCTTTCTAAGCTATAGCATATATTGCAATTATATTTTCAAGCTTAAAACTAGAATTTTTTAAAAAAGAAAACTCATAATTATAAGCAAAACCTTGTATACCCAGCAGCTCTTTCCATAAACAATCACAATTCATATTACTTTAGTGGCTGTTACAAACCAGATGCACCAAATATTGCATTGATGGCAACTGTAAGGAAAGACTAATGGTTAGATTGTTGTGTGCTGAGCACCATCTTAATGAGATGCTCTCATATATGCATGATGGACAGCTTCTTATGGGCATTAGTTTCATTGCTTCTAAACAAGTTTATGTAAAGTGGGAGAGTGCAAAGAGAAGGGGTCTCCCCAACTCTAACCTAAGCTTTATAGCTCTGTAGAAGAGGGTCTACAAAGCTACACCTGCTAAAATTCTCCTAGCTACACAACTGTTAAAGGTGCAGAAGCCCTGCCTAATTCTGTATCAGTTCATCTTAGGTTTAGAATATACAGTCATAAAGGTGTAATTATTCATTCAGCTTTAAAACCCTCACTGCTCTTCATGTCTCACAGCAACACAGAATTGGCACCCTTGGAAATTTGGAAACCAGCACGTACTCCTAGGACTCATCCAAGGAGGAATAACGCACCAATGCAGAGACTGGCCCTTGCCCACACTTGACTGGCCCTGTGCCCAATCAAAAACAAATGAACCATTGTGCCCTGGGAAGATTGAAACCACAGGGTTTTGTATAATCATAGGGTTTTGCTGCTAATCCAGAGTAAATATCTCCAGGGAGGGTGGAGAGACATTTGAGGAATGCTCTTGAACAGCTGACAATTGGGCCATGCTGACCCTACTGGAGTCAAGAGCAGGGAACCCCCAAACGTTTTCTGGAATGCCTCTCCTCCTCTTTTATAACAAGGCAACTTCTCGAGGAGAGAAAAATAACTTTTTGTACCTCTCTTTTAGCAAAGCTGGAAAGAACATGCCTGGCCTTGCCAGCTTATGAGAGTGTTTGGCTTAGAAATGTTTGAACCTTGAACGGAGAGCTATGCTTCCCCAAAGATCATTAACATGACCTTTTTCTTCTGGCAGGATCTTTATTAGGCTATTCAGGCTCCTGCAAGCCTGCCTCTTTCCCACCACCACTAGCACCCCTTAGCAGAAGACTGAGCAGGTCACACTCTACCTGCAGGTAACCCAAAAGGTAAATCTTTATTGCACATGGAACAAAATGCTCCTGCCTGCAACTGGAGGTGTTGGTCTCCGACTTCTGTAATCTGTAGCCAACACAGGCACAGAAGGCACCAGGCCAAAGAAGGCTCTGCTTTACAAAGCCAGCCCTAACCCTCGTGCATTGAGGAGCTGCACGACACGATGAAATGCGGTTGTGGGGTTCCAATAATTGCATAGGAAAAGTTTCACCTCTGCAGTTTCCTCCAGGATATGGGAGAGCTTCTGGGGAAGAGAAAACCGGCCACCTGATTTGATCCCTTTTTCATCTTTTAGAGAAAGTGGCATG